ATAGATATGTTTAGTCTCTAAGAATAACTTAAGTACACACCTAGAAAAGAGTTTAAGAAAAGGGAAAATCATTGTATGCATTTTTGCCCTAAATCTGTATGGAAGTATCTGCTTTCAAGTAACAGATAACACACTGCACAAGGACTGTGAAAGGACTGATTACTGATTAACACTTAACAAAATTAGCATGAAGCACTGGACTTAGATCAGAAGTCAGACATTCTTTCTACTGCTCAGCATTAACATTGCCAATACGTTCATTTCCTTAACACCACACCCTAAGAAAACATAGGATTTGAAAGCTGAAAAGTGGCCTGATTGATTTCCCGAAAGAATTCAAAGTCCAATTAAAACAAAAGAGATTTCCATTTGAGAAAGTATGTGTGGATAAATGAATCTTTCTGAGTAGTCCCATTGAATTCTTGCATTGCATAGAAAGGAATTAATATGTTTATAATATTAATCTATCTTACAGAGTTGTCATTCTTAGAAAGAGACACTTACAGCATTATCTGCAGTGGTTCATGACTCAAAAGGAGATGGTAATACCCAAGACGATTAACTGATGTGATGATAATCAAGGTGCAATAAACTATCAACAAACCCATCTGTGATATGTTTATTGGGGAAAAAAGTATGCTTACTGCACTCATCAAAGTCTAGAAATTTCATATTGTTTAAAAATTCCATTGGTAGATTGCAAATCTGATCCTAGCTAAGTGGAAAATTAAGTTGCGGTTACAATAAAACCTGAACATACATCCAATACCACCTAGGGAATAGTGCAAACAAACTGAAAAGATAATCTTTTGAGGACAATTTGTTAGGTATAGTAATTCTAAATGCTACTTAACTATACTAGATACTTTTTTTTTCAAGCAGTATCAAAAGTTCTCGGTGAGGTTATTGTTGCTAGAAACATCATAAGCAAATAACCAAAAAAAAGCCCCCCCAAATCCCTGACTATAGAGCTAAGCAAATTGGCATATGATTTTTAATAATCAAAATCTAGTTATATCAAATAGATCCTGATTTGACTAAATTAGTTACATTTAGAGAAGCACCTTGCTCCAACTGTTGCTTCATAATTCAAAAAATTCAAAGTAACATTTTACGTAAAAAAATAGTTTTCATTTAAAATGTACATTAATCATATAAGTGCAATAATTTGGCCTTCTGACAAAAAACTAAGAACTCTTAAAACCTGGAAGATCTTTTAAAAAAGTAATATTATCATTACTTTTGAAATGTATGAAGAATTACAACACCACTATTCAAGAAAACAAGGTTTATTAATTTAACTAGTAAGAAATGGATCACTCTTCAAGAGTTTCAGATAGTTTCAGCATTTTATTTAGAAATTTGAAATCACCTGTCATGTTAAAAAAAAAAAAAAAAACAACCGCCTACTTTTAACAATAAACTTAGGTAACCACAGTACACATGCATTCTGACCAACATCAGAGAAGTACTGTTTAATTTAATGCACCATCAATATTACTGCTTCTCTATATCCTACAGAACTTAAAAAGAACAAAAAAACTTGAAAGCTAAAAAAAAAAAAAAAACAACCGCCTACTTTTAACAATAAACTTAGGTAACCACAGTACACATGCATTCTGACCAACATCAGAGAAGTACTGTTTAATTTAATGCACCATCAATATTACTGCTTCTCTATATCCTACAGAACTTAAAAAGAACAAAAAAACTTGAAAGCTTTTATTTCCTGACATTATTTGGTATTGCCTTTTTCCTTAACTGCATATTCAGGAAGACTATGTATAGAAGAGAAAGACTCTTCTATTTTGCCCTCAAAAGTCTTTTGCAGAATCATATTAGATCAGATATTTTGCCTGAAAGGGACCTCTGGGTCTGTCTAGTCCAAACTCCTGCTAAAAGCAGGACTATTACTTCCTCTAGACCAGCTGTGACTTTGTACACCCAAGTCCTGTAAATATCCTGGAGACTAAGGTTCCATGGATATTTTGGGTAACATTTCAGTGCTGCACTATTCCTCCTAGTGAAGAAGGTTTTCTTATACAAATATCTTTGACGTGTTTATTATTGATATTGACCCTTGTAACCTATGTTGTCATCTTTACATATTTATCTGTTATAAAAAAAGTAGGGAAAACCTAGACACATACCTTTCACTTTTTCAGAGGACAGTGCCATGGGAATATTCAGAATAAATTTTGTGAAGTTAACATATGGTTGGGCCTTATACTTAAAACCACTTACTGGTCTTGTCTACTTCCAATTCACACTGGTTGGAAAAAGACTTGGTGCAGAAACACCCTTAAGTTTTAGCACACTTTTTTATATACATCTCTGCAGACAAAACCATAGACTTCTAAGATGATGATGCATAACTCCAGATCCAAAAGACATCATTCCTTAGCTTTAAAGACCCTTGGATCAGGATGTGAATCAAAAATTCAGAAGGCATAATTTTCTTTATATAGGAACATAATAAAGTTTCTGTTTATTCTGTGGTCATTTTTATGTATAAAATTAATCATAAAATCTGAGCCTGCAGGAAGTCCAGTTGACTTCAGATGAGACTTCAGTCCTTGTAACAGTGATAGATTTCAGTGTATAAAAAACAATTTTTTTTAGATTCTACAGAACATGATTCGGCCTTTGTAATATGACGTATGGCAGCATTAATACAGCTATCCTCAGCACGATGTTTCGCTTCAGGAAATCTGAATGCATGAGTTGTCAATATGGCAATGACAACATCCCCCCATCTCTCCTGAAGTTAGATATTACTTAAAGACACTTAGGTAACACAGTTAAAGTCTCTGTATCTTAATTTTCACTTCATGATATGTCATGGAATCATTTATCTTTTGTGAACAGTGGCATTTAAATGCTACAATTCTGATTTGTTAGTGTTTCACATTCATCCTTAAATCATATAATACAAGGCTGTGGAATATCGAACACCTCAGGCCAGAGGAAAAAAGCAATCTAAATCTTTAACTGTTGCTCAAAATTTCTTCCTCTATAACACATGACCTTAGAGGTTTTTCACTGTCTTCCAAGTAACCAAACATCCAGGGTGTCTGGATAACCATAAACTAACCCAGAATTGGCAGCCTGGAATCTTGCGTTTTATCAAGTTTCATAAAGATTTGAGAGGATCTTAGGGGTCTGATCTAGCAGATGTATTCAAAGGTTATTTGACAAGGGATTTTTTTTAAAAAGTGAAGTTGCAACAGCCTTACATTTACAGAAGAACATAATTGCATAGACTACTAGTTAGGTCAATCCATTCTGTTAAGAATACCGTGCATTGGATTACTTTAAGTCTGAATTTAGGTAATTACATCTCATATGAACTGTGTGAACATAATCCACCACCGAGATAGGAATCCATAATATTTTACTTCCCAAAAAATGTATTAAGGAAGTTACAAAAGAACTCATCTTCTTGTTTTGTCTCCTTGTCCAGAAAATGTGCAATTTTTTTGCACAACACACTACCCCATTTCAGCAGGGAAAGATAGGGGGAGTATCAGATTATATTTTACAGTATTATTTTTTATATGCTTTGGTATGGAACCATTTAATATGTATTTAACCCAAATATGTGTCATTATTGAAGTGTTATGTTGGCTTTGAATTTTAAAAAATGCAAAAATGCTGAGATGTCTCAATTTAAAACTAAAAATAATACTAACTTTTATGAGTTAACCAAATAAATTTTATAGTTTATTTTAAAGTACAAATTTATGCTAAGATTCCATAGTATTTCTGATTATATAAAAGGTTTCAGACTTCTTTCTGTTTGAAGAATCAATTACCTATTCTTTTATAGTTTATTTGGTAGTTAATTACAACTGGAAGATTTGAGATTTCTTATCTTCTAAAAAAATCTGTCTCAAAATGAACTAATCTGGATGAATTGGTCTACAAAGAGCTGAGGTTACAATAAATAACATCGCTTCTTGAAATATGAAACCAAGTTGTTTCTTCTTTTCTGTTTTCCATCATTCCATTGCACGAACTTAAAATAGTTCTTCCAGTAGTAACAGGAGAAACATACTGTGAGTATTTTGAAGTAAATGTCTGAAAACACAAAAAGCACTAAATGTTTTATGAAATGTGCTGTGCACATGTACTTGCACTCCATTTTGATGTAGCTGAATATAAAAAAAAAACCAAACCTCTTCATTGCATCTTGCTTTCATGGAGCTGAACACCATCTGGCATTTTACTTTCTTCCTCAAGGTTAGCTGTTTTTCATTAGGTTGTGGCTCTTAAGAATTTGTTCTGCTGTGTAAAAAGCCAAAGCTGACTTTTAGGAGATGTGCAGGAAAGAAAATGCCATGCTATATCCTTTCAGTATGGCGATTAACTTCCCCACATTGGTTCCAGCTACGGTTCACTTCCGTTTCAAGGAAAAAAAGGATTTGAGACCAACTCCTCGAACAAGATGAAGAATGTCATAAACTTCAGAAAATCAAAAGGGGACAGATCTTTTAACTTATCATACAAGATCAGTAATAGATCCATCTTCCCTGTCTCAAATCCAACAGGGTGCTGCAAATATTAAGTCACAGAGGAACTGACCACTGAAGGCAATGCACACACTCCAAAACCTCTCCAAGGGGTAGGTTTCAATTACAACAGTAGTTTGTCCTGCCAGAGAGCTGCCTATGGATAGGCAGAATTTGTTGGAGACAGAAATTCATTAATGGAAATGAAAATATTCTGTGTTGCGGAGCACAAAAAAAGAGAAACATGCCTGAGTCTTTAGCAAGTTTCTCAGTTGATCTTTTGAATGAAAACAAGTGCTTGATTGTTTTTTTCGCTCATGATGATTTCAGCGCATCAATGTGAAACTTGCAGATTGTGTTGGTGTGGCTGCTAAAGTACAATGATGTAGACAATGGCATCCTCAGAATGGTAATCCAGGATCTCTTCTGATGATGAGTTTGAGATTCAGTCTCTATTTTTCCCTTGCCGCTATCACTTTATCCTGTGAAATAATGCTTTATTTGTGGTAAATACCTTTTTTCATTAACACCAGGAACAGATCTTTATAAGATGGTCTGCCACCCCAGTCAAATTTACGTCTTCAGTTTAGCATACTACACAATTAGTAATCTCTATGCAGGTAAGTGGCACATTGTAAACATCTGTTATTTCAGGTCATTCTGGGAACTTCTTTGTCATGCAAAGAGGGGCCAAAACCTGATCCTCAGATTCCAGTCAGAGAAACAATGACAGCAGGTGAAAAAGACTTGGATTCAAATCTAGTATATTTAACATATCACTGACAAAAAGTATGAACTAATTTTCAATCTGGATTTTCATTACAGAAAGGTTGATCTGTCATTCTAATGAAGAAGAATGTGTGAAAATTCTGGACCATTTCTGACAAGGCAAATATGCTAATTTATGTGTAAATTTACAGGTTTTGTTGGAGGAGTCTTTGGGACGGAAGATTGTTTTTTTCTATTCAGAGCTTGGAGAGGCATCACTACAGGTAATATATTTGAGAATCAATACAAAAAGCTTGTGTGAAAAATACCTGTAGCAGGAGTAAAAAGAAAAAGAAATATATTTGACTTGTATGAATTTTAAAAGATAAAAGCAGTTTAAAATAAAAAAGTGCAGTAAATTGTTTTAATTTCTGTTTATTTAGGGAACATATCTATAGTGCTATTCAATATATTTTCTTCACTCAAATGTGAGGGGAAAAAAGGCAGTGTTGGTTATTACCTTGAGGTACCCTAACAACAACGACATAGTTGCCACGTACACCAGTGTGCTTGACAAAGCACTGTTCTCGCACTCAATTAAACTATCGTGCTGACAGAAGAAAAATGGATCCACTTTGTTGCAGACTGTCAAACATGCTTTGCTTTCCAGCCTCCACTATTCTAGCAAAGTGAAACACACAAAATCACTTAACTGTGCCTGTCACCGGAAAAAAAAAAATCAGAATATGGTGTTGATGAAAAAATTTCTGAACATGCCTCCTAACTTTCTGCAAACACCAGTAACATTAGGTATATATTTCTAATTGTTTTAATGAAAATGTCCCTTTTCGGAGCAGATATTGCACTCTCCTTTCATTGTATGTGATTTATTTTGGTTAATCAGCAAATTTTAATATTCTTTAGCTGAAGAATAATCACATATGGCCAAATTCTTATCCCTTTTTGTTATGGCAATATAAAGTTTCCTTATAGCTGGAAAATCACTGTCTGAGAATGTTATGAAGTTATAAGGCTATAGGTAGACCGCTCTCTCATCATACAAACTTTCACTACGCGGCAGTCCAGTAGGGACAGATGATAAGAATGTGTATCACATGCCATATTCTAGTCATTCCTGGATACTTCAAAACCACTTGCAGTGTTACAGACTGCCACAGAGTACAGTTTCCTTTATATAAATGAATGATGTGAACCTGCCTGCTGAGGGAAAGCTAAAAGCTAAAACTCTCTTTAATTCTGCTGAGTGATGCTCTGATACATCTGTGTAACTGAGTTGCTTTGACATGAATTTAGCTCACTCTTTTTTCTGATGCTTTGAGACTGCAATGAAGAATGTTTTACCACACAGTTGTCCTCAACATTCTGTCAAGTAGCTGTTAGCAGCTAAGCAAAGTGACATTTGTGCATGTGGCAATTGTCTTTATTACTTCTCTTAAATCTAAGCCTGAGGGGCCTGAATCAACATTTCCCTGCACCTTACCAATTGTAGGTTATTATTTTTACACCCATTTGTTACTAAAGTAAATAACTACTGAAATGAAAGACACTGAAATACTAAAGTCTGTTATAAAGTACTATGTACATTTTTGTTTTATTGTGTTTTGTTGCTTTTTTTCTCTACGTTATTTGAGATCTCTGAGAATTCAAAAAGGAACAATATTAGTCAATCTGATTCATTATTCAAAGCTTTCTAGTGTCACTTCCATCCACTGAATTAAATTTTTCATTGGATCTTAATTATTTCAAATAATAAAGCTATTTAGAATTTTTCTTTGTGAAACTGAATTGTTTAAATGTAAACACCTAGTGTAATTTTGATGCTCTAAGCCATCCCCATCCAGGCTCCAGTTGCTCCTACAGATCAGGGCATGGGTTTCCAAAGGTCCTGTGGCATGTCCATGAAGCCCACTCACATGTTTTGAATATGCAAGGACAACTAAAATAACACTAGATATCTAAGTTAATGTAAAGTTAATGTAGCTGCATTTTCCCTTTTGTCTCACCCTTACATGCATAAGTAACACTTAGAATCTTTACTTATCTGGAATAAAGATAGCAATGAAACAAATATGTTGCCACCAGATTTACTCTTCCCAATCCTCCTAAATACATAGGTTTTCTGAACTAAATTATTCTCAGTCATAGAAAGAGGAAATGATACTCATTCTCTAATAACTGACATTTTGATTTTTAGAAGTCAACAAATTAAACTTCCATAGCAAAGTGATGACATCTCAAAAATATTAATAATAAGGAAGTTGATTTCCTAACAGAGAAAATGTGGTCAGATACTCAAATTACAGAAATTAGGATAGCACCTTCAAAATTATTATCTCTCTGCAAATTTTTAGTGTAGTAAAATTTTCTGTCAGGATCTTACAAAGAATATGAAGAACTCACATTTGTATATACAAATAGGTAAGACACCAACAGTAAGCTGAACTAAAGAATATAACTTTACTTTGAATTTATCAAGACTTCAATGCTAAGTTTAGCATACATATGTAGACATGTAATAATTAAGCTGATCTTTCTCTATACAAATAGAAATTAGAAAAAAAGTTCATGCATAATCAGTTTACAAAAGATTTGCTTAGAGGAAGATAAATGCAGGTCAGAATTTGTGTTTTGGCACCATCAGTCATGCACAGAAATTGAATGGCCTTACTGCACTCTGGAGAAGATGCTTCTGTCCACATGACAATAGTGAGTTGTGTTTAATTCCCAAACAGTTCTAAACTTGTGCATGCAGAAATTGCTGCCTTCTTTAAAAAGTGACCTTTAAGAAAAAGACATTTAAAAACCTCTTTATTTCTTTTTCATTGATAGAGAGAAGTTCCTTGATTTGCTTGAAAGGCAGCCAGGAATAAGCTTTTTCATTTCTTGTGAGTTGAAAAAAATTACAAAATTATACAGAATAAATAGTAAATATAAATCTAGCTAGAATTCATTGCAAAAATAAACCTGCAGTGTTCTACTTTTTTTAACCTATTTTTCCCACAACACTTTAATTCCTTCTAATTTCAGAAAATATAACATATTTTTGTACAAACAACTAAATACTAATGTTGTTCCTCATGTGTGTGGTTTGTTGCCGTTACTCTGTCTGGGAGTTGCTTTTGAGTAGGGTGGGAAAGGACCTTTATTTGAACTTGGAAGTTCCTAGCCACAGCAAACTCATTTTCTCCAAGAATATTTAAAGCTAGCACAGAAGTTATTTTTATATATAGACAGATATATAAAAAACCCAAACTTATTAAACACAATAACATATTTACAGCTGATTCTCAGTAGCTTTTCAAATTGCCCCGGATTATGAGTTGAAACACCAGTGATGCACAATGTTTTGTAGCAGCAGCTCAAGAAAAGATTGTCCAAACTTAGGTAAAGCTATCAGGGAAAGTAGCAAAAGGCTTCCTTTTTTCTTCTTATTGAAGATGTTGGGTAAACACAGTTACATGTTTTTCCTTCCACAAACTGATACAGAATGCACATGACGAAGTTCCGTGTAAAATACTTAAATATTTGCAGGCTCTGGGTGTATACACAATTTTTTTTTAATTTTTTTTTTTTTTTTTAAACTGACATTTCAACTCCTTTCATATTTATTATAAGGGTATGTTAGGTGTGGTTGTAGACAATGGTCATGTATGCAGTGTGTTTACTAACCTAACAAATACACTCTAACCTTAAAACTACAAACACAGGTGTTTTTTCAAAAGGAACCTAATTAAACTGAGGGGAAAATGAAAGAGTAAAGGTAACAAATATTTTCCGTAGGTTGGGTACAGAATGGAGAGCGCCATACACACCTTTGTAAAATGTTGAGTAATATTGCAACAAGCAATCTTCCTCCCACAGTTCAATCACACAAAGTTCACGTTTAACTTGGGGTGAGACATACTGCCTGCACACAACCCCATGGCTTCCCACAGTGATCCCTGAGTTTTTTGTTGCTAGGATTACTGCTGTGCTTAAGTTCTGACTGCTGACATGTAATTATAAGGCACTTTTATTTACAATGGTTCCAACTTAAAATAGAATTACAGAAATTCGATCCCAGCCCAACGTGTTATCGCTTCATGTTTGCTGCTCCAGGACTTCCAGGTAGTCAGGCTCAGCATGTAAATTAGCTTTGAGTTCAAAATACTCATTTTTAGTTTGTTCTAGAAAAACCTTTCTTGGCCTGGAGTACATGAGTGTTTCCATTAGCTTCAGCTCCTCATGTGTTCCAGGATAATGAACTTCCATGTCAGGCTGGAGCTGGACAATATTTTTTCTTAGGTACTCCGTGATCCCTAGTTGCTGCAGTTCTCTCTCTTTTTCAAGAAAGTTTCTATACAAACAGCTGGCATCCTGAAAAGACAGAAATTCAGCAGGTTGATCTGTAGCCTTATATTTTACATTTGAACCTGTAAGAGGTGAGCTGTTCTCTCTTTCCAGGAGACTTCGGTGGAGATTTTTGGAATCATTAGCTTCCTTCTCACTTCCCTCCTCCCGTTGCTCAGTATGTTTGGGGCTGAAGGACGGGCTGCGGTAGACCTGAACCATGGGAGTAACCATACGTTGCTCATAGAGAGTTGCAGCTGGGCGCTCCGTTGTGTGGTGTGTTGTCTTATGCCCATACATGCTGTACTGGAGGTGAACTGGGCTGCTATCCCTCATTTGTTCATCTGCTTGTTTCTTTTTGCATCTTCGTCGCCGATGGAGAACAAGAACAACTATTCCTGCTGCACAAAACACAATAGTTATAAACACAATTAGAAGTCCTAGTATTAGAACAGAAAGTGGGACGGCATCTGTAAGAGACCGCAGGATAGTGTCTGCAGTGTTGGTAGTAGTAGAAGAAGTTGTCACAACTACAAAACTGGCATGAGTTGGTAGGGCAGGGCTGTTTATTAAACCTGGACACAAGACTTCACTGTTAAGAGATTTCAGTTCTTTTTTCGCTAGATGTCCTGGAGATTTGCAAAAAATGTCACCCATCATTGTGTTCTTACTCAGTTTTTGTATCCATTTTTGCAACCCAACTGAATCACAAGTACAGTCCCAAGGGTTGTCTTCAAGTTCAATTTGTACCAGCATATTGAGTTCATCCAAGACATTGCTTACAGGCAAATGTGAAAATTGGTTTGTTTTCAGGTTTAATCTGGTAAGTGGAACACCTGAAAAGATATGGGGTGGCAAAGTCTGCAGAAGGTTGTTATTTAAGTAGAGGACCTTAAGTTTTGGCATTGCAGTAAATGTCCCTGGCAAAACTTGTTTGATGGCATTATATTCAAGGTACAAGTATTCAAGGTGCTGAAGGCCAAGGAAGAGATTCTGACTTAGCTTTGTAAGATGATTGCCATTGAGATACAATTTCTGCAGTCTAGTCAGATTCAGAAAGGATCCTTCCTCAAGGATTTCAATGCGATTGTTCCCCAGATGAAGCATTTCCAGGCTAGCATAGTCCACAAGATCTGATTTCATTAATGTCTGAATAATATTTCCAGCTAGAATAAGCTTTTTAGGATTTGGAGGAGGTGGTCCTAAATCAGACAAGCTTTCAATATTTCGCTCCTGGCAGTGCATGAGAACTCCTGAGAGCATATGGCTGGTGCAGTGACAGGGGACGGGACAATAGATTCCTGGAAACTGAGTAGTAGGCTTTAAAGTATGAAGCATTAAACTTGGTTCTTTAGTAGGAGCTTTCAGGATAGGAATCACCTTAGTTGACAGGTGACTATCACTAACAGAGGTGGTTACAACCAAGGGCAGTGACCCTGAAGGATCTTCAAGTTCATTGACAGGATGAGTGGGACAAAGTGATTCTTTTTTCAACCGGCTTAAGATGCTGCCTTTGATAATTGGAGGACTATTGCATACAACATCACCTATTATTGACTGAGGAGGCATGTTTTCTAGCCATATCTTCAGCTGCAGCAAATCACAGTTACAGGCCCATTTATTATCTTCCAGCTGAAGATCTAGTATTCTACCAATGTGTTCCAGAAAGCCAACATAGGGCAGGGTCTGTAACTGGTTTCCACGAAGATCTAAATGGGTCAATGGCACAAACCGAAATATGTTCGGAGGAAGATACTCAATGGCATTATCATTCAAAATAAGCACTTTAAGCCTGTTGAGCTTGCTGAAGGCACTTGCTTCAATCACTGTGATGAAATTATTGTCTGCTTGAAGAAACTCCAAATTTTCCAATCCATTAAACGTATCTTCTTTAAGTGTTTCTAAAGAATTGTGATTGATATGAAGTTGCTTAAGAAGGCTGAGACCATTGAAAGCCCCAGGCTCAATATCAGCAATATTATTAAATCCAAGATGTAAAGAGATAGCATTAACAAGGCCAGTAAAATCATTCACGTGTAACATAGTCAGGCCATTGTTTAACAGATTAAGATGGAAAGGCCGTGATGGTGGGACACTTATTTCTGATACCATCTTGATGCCCCTTTCTTCACAGTTTATAATCATGGTATCATCCTTTTCTTCACAGGAACATAAACTCTGACAAGATCCTCTGACTGAAGAAAAAGAAGGCTGTGACTCGAAAGGATCAGATGCAACCACAACTGAATATATAATAAAAATCCAGAGCTTCATCTTGCCCAGTAGATTCTATAAGAAAAGAGAAAAAAAAAAAGGAAAAAACAAACAGTAATGTAGTCATAATTTCAGAGGGTTAGATTTTATTATTTTTTATTATTTTTTTTTCCTGGGGCAAGGGGGAGCAGTATCCATTCCTATTATTTGACATTGGCTGCCTAACTTTCCAAACAATATTATATTGTGCAAAAAAATTTACAATTTTCTAAGCAGAGAAAAATATATTTAGTTTAATGTCCGGAATCAATGAACACAGTCATAAGGGGAGTGATTCAGTACTCTCATGCTGATACACCAAAGTAGGAGATTATCAGGGATGCGTTGTCTTTATTTATGTATCATATACAATCTTTTGCCAGTAGACAGCAGTAATAAGTTACTACTCCAAGCAACATATCAAGGCTAATGGAATAGTTTGGATCATTGCTGTGTGTCACCGTATAGCACTGCAAATTTTAAGAGTACCTTGCTAAGCTCAACTTAATGTTGTCCAGCTGCTGAAGAGAAGAAATTAGACTTGGTTTGGTTCAACTATGTGTTGTGAGCAACAGCCCGTTCAGGCAGAATACATGGAATCTCTCCTTACGTTCTGCTTTATGTATGTAAATCAAAAGGTATTTCCTCTGCAAGCCTTGTACCCCCAAACTGAAAAGGAAGTAGACAAAATATTTTTTTTTCTCTACTTACATTTTAATGCTTGGATTATAGTTTGTGGATATTTAGTGAAAGCGGGAACACAGCACATAGTAGTGTAATATGTTTTTGTATAATATACACATAAAATAATTGTGTACAGAATTAAAATTAAAAAAAAAGAGAGAACTGACAACACAGTACATATCAGAAAAAGGTAGGCAGACATTTTTTTTTTGTGATTAATTATTAGACTTCTTCCAATTATTATAATCATTAGTTATCACAAAAATTCTGAAATGTACATGGAACTAACTCTGTTTTACAAGTTAAAAATTATCATCATTATCATCCATATGTTATATAACTTAAATTATAAAATGTCAGCTGGTCTTGAACTTTGCAATACCTGATAAATGTATCATTACAGGATAACTGTGGAGTCACAAGTAAAATTCACACATTGAAATCAAGCATTCCTAATCATTGGTTTGAACTAATTTATTACTACACTCTTCATTTGAAAATCCTCTGTTTCTTTCTGTCAAGGCTGTCCAATTAACAAGAACAATGATATTTCTCGATATATGAGATGGAATGAAATCTCTGTTTATGGTCTTTAATTAAATATTTGCACATTTCCTAAAAGAAAAAAAAAATGTTACAATAAAATGGATGATTGAAAACACAAGAACTTTTTTTGGGTGCAAAATTTATTCTAGGAGTGAACTAAGCAGGTTTCTTAAGTAATTCATCTAATAAAGGTTACTTGATCTTTCAAAGTAAGCAACTAAAACATAGAGTACAGAATGTCACTACACAATTAACCAGCAGAAGTGTTAAATTCTGAAAGATTAGAACCCTTTAGAAGAATCTATTCAATTACATGCATGAACATTCTTACAGTGTGGCCATATGGTTTGGCATCTCATCAATACATATTTTAATTATCATGTACCTTTGTTACTAGCAACACCATTTACTCAAGGCTTCCCTTGAAGCAGATTGCAAAGATTTATACATGCAGGCACTTAAGTTCTGTGGTATGAGTATTACATACACATAAAAGCAACAACAGCAAATGTGTGCAGTGAATTATGTTTTTCTCTATTATTAGTTCCTGATAAGTGGGAGTAGATGGATGAGGTTAGAAATAGTAAGTGCAATTCACAGTGTGAGAAAAAGTGTCCCCTAAAATATGACCTTTTATTTTTCTTTCCGTAGAACAAATAATTTTGTTTTCTCATCTAACATTCCTTGAACTCCAGATGCCTGTTTAATATATATGTCTCTGTTTTCCTAGGAAGTATTGGTTAAGACACATCATGCTAAGATGTAATTTCGAAGCATGCAGAATAATTCTAGGACCATATTATGCTAAAGATTCATTCATGCTTTATGTGTATCAATATCCTTTCCAGTGACCCAAGGTAAAAAATGCAGGCTCTTGACACAGATGCCAGCTTCAAACCTACTGTATGACTAATTAGACACTATTTCTGTACACTTTTTCTCTGTAGGAATTCCAGCCTCAATCTGCATCAAATTCAAACTGCACTTATAAATTCCCTGAGCAAAATTAAATGAAAAAAAAAAACCAACATCTGAAAAGTATGTTGCATTCTAATGCATATTGAGAAATTAGGTTATAAAAATGAAAGCCCTCTTCTCAGAGATGAAAGTAACATTTGTAACCAATTGGAAAATGTCCTCATTTTAATCATCATCATACTTCTGTGGGCAGCACTGCCAGAACTCTCACACACACATATATACACACCAAATAATCATTAATCAGAGAGTTGCATTCTTTTTCCCTTTTTCAATTTTTTTTTTTTTGTCTGAATGGTCAGGAATATGTAATGAAGCTCTCAGTGGGCTACTATCGTAAAATAAAAACAAAACTGCTTTCAAGTAACAGATGATAGACATATAACCGAAATAATTTACAATAAAATAAAATTTAATTTAAAAGAGTACACAAAGTCAACCTTTTCCTGTTTTATGTGGTGAGGCTTTTCAGCAAATTCTACATGATAACTTGAGTTTGTTGGCTTTATCTGCTTTAATGCAAGTCACTAACTGCATAATGTAACCAAGGTTTTTGCAATATGAATTCTAAAAGACTAAAAATTCTCAGTCCTTTCTATGAGGCAAAGTTTAATACTTTCCAGAAGTAGTCACCTTATAGCAAAGGCATCACATACTTGACAAGAAATAATCAGCAATGTGTTTTTACAACATTAACTTAGCTTTTTTCACATCACTTGGGGTTTTGTTTGCTTTAATTCAGCTATTTAAAAAACGCATGTTGAAGAATTTCAAAGCCTCAAGCTAAGAATTGGTAATTTCTAAAAGCCTTCGGGATTGCCTATTAAATTCTAATGGGAATCATAGTCAGATGATGCATTTAAGACAATTCTTGCACTTCAGAAAATAAAAACAAACACCCATTTCTCCCCCCTCAAGGGATCTAAAATCAGTGTTCCTTTAATACACACAATCTATGCATTTGGCAGTTTGAATAAATGCACTTGGCAGAGCATTTGAAACACAGTATAAACTGCCATAATTTAACATAAAAGTTATACAAAGTCACGCAGAAAAATAATTTCAGCTGGTAATGAGAAATTAATTTCTCCTACACTGAACTAATTAACTAACTGGAACCTTTCTTACCTGCACAGCAGTAACACTCCCTGAAACGCTCGGTAATGCACAGTGGGAGCAGCTGTTTCAATGCGCTGTAATTTTCCCCAGTGAAAAATGCACTCTTTCGTCCGAGTTTCACTCTGCTGCAAGCTCTGGCGATACTACAGCTCCATAAAGTTAAAATCCTTGTTCAGAAGACAGAGTACAAAGCGTTCAGTTGAAAAAATCTTCCAGACAGCGTGCACATGAGACCATCCTGTAAGCAGTTGTCCTTTTTCCTCAATTAAAATTCACAGCATACTTCACAGCTATGCTGGCTTTTCTGCGTATAGTTAACTGTTTGCAAGCATTTGGATGCAGTAAACAAACAAGATGTTCAGCAGAGCTTGACTTGATCACTTGGTTTGTCAGATTTTTAGATCCAAGCTGCTTCTATGTTCTCTCTGCTCTTTCTAGTCTTTCTTGTTAGCTCAGTTTGTTATTAGTCAGATTGCCAGGGGCTGGGAGGTAGGCGTAAATAAAGAGACTTCTTGGCTTTTGACTCAGCCTTTAAGCCCTTCCCCACCAGAGAGCTTTAATCTGCCAGTGTCATTTAATACAAGATACAGCTCCACCTTGAGACAGATCAGCTCCTCCTCCTGCAATTTCTCTCACCTCCTTTTCCCCTTATCTAAGTGAACCGCGGAAAGTAAAATCCAGCTAAATATCTTCTAGATTACTTAAGGTCTGTTAATGGCTGATTTTGCAAAATAGTAAACATCCATTGCAGCTCTTGCAGTTTGTTCTCTTGGGCAGACCTTGCCTTTAGTTTCTATCTGCAAATGCTTGCTTTAGAAACTGAAAGCATTCCAGCCCAAATACCCTCCGCAAAACACACTACAAGGGAAACCTTGTCCTCTGGAAAATTTGCTTATCACAATGAAGTGCAGGATTGTTCAAAGAAATAAATGACAGTACGGCTTTCAATCCAGTTCACCCAATGTGACTGGGGCAGGGATGAGTATGTACAGTACTTCATTTCTGAGGAAAAAAAAAAAAAAAAATAGAAGTAGATTATTAGTGCTTATGCTTGCACAATGATTGCTGTCAGTCCTTTTCAAAATTGCCCGTCTTGTTCTTTAGGAAGAAAACTGGTTTGATTGTAATTGTCTGTTTTACAGATGTTAGCATAGTGTGTTGGTATCTATCCATGTGAGACTGTCGTGTATTTGCTTGAAACATTGCTTTGACAAAAAACAGTTTGGAGAGGGGGGGTTGAGGGAAGTGTACTCTTAAAGGCAAGTGTCATGCTTAAGGTATTGTTTTCTTTGTCCTCATAAACAAGTAATTAGAAGATACAGTAAGGCAATGGGAAAATGTTTATTCCATGCAAGAAACATTTTCCTCATCCCTCCTGCACTGTATGGGACAGTCTGATATGCTGCAAATGCTATTTCCTTGTTCATCCTACTGCCATAGAGCCACAAAATCTTTTGGTGAGCAACAATAGAACTGGTGCTTCAGTCTGTTTATGTAGAGCATACCATTTCCGTTTTGTTCTTACTGTGTCTGGAATTACTTTACAGACCGTTTATTACAGCCTCAATACCAGTCATATTCCAGTAACATCTTTTGTGCTGATAGATCTCCACGTGGCCTCACTGGCCTTTGAAGAAATATTGTAATGTACTGTTCTGTGTGATGAAGGCTATCAAGATCTTTTTCCTATATATATATATACACAAGTATATTCATATATACATATGTAATATACACATACACGTATACATATATACACACACACATATATTTTTTATATATGGGCATATGTATATATGCCTTGGCTTATTAGTATGAGTTCTTTAGTACTTAATTTTCTACTGATAAGGTATGTAATTTAGCAAAATAATAAAAAGAGATAAAATATTCCTAAGAAACAGCAGCAATTTAATTTCCTTTCACTTCGACACATCAGTTATTTGATTGTATATTGAGACATTTAAGGAATCTTGCCACTCTGTCTTGACTTGCATACATTTTACTGTTAAGGCTCAAAGATTCTCAGGTATCTGTGTCCAGTCAAATAAATCATTACATTCTTTATTCATGTTGAGTTTCTGAATTGGAAGTCAGTGCTCACACTTCAACTTGTGGTTGATTGTTTCAGATGGAGAATACCTGTATATACAGATACTGATATCAGAAGTGAAAACAACACAGTTCTTTCCTTTTCAGTTAACATCCACAGGACTAAAACTGATCACAAAAATATTTCCCTAAATCACCAACTAAAAATATGAGAGCATTTCCTGACCATACATAATTAAAAACCACCAATGTTTATCAATAATGTTTGTCATTCCACAAACTGTATATTTACCAGGTTTATAAAAATATGGCTAATGATTGTTTTTCTACCACAATTCTATGAATCATTAAGCAGATTATTATAAAGAATGTGATTCTGCAAGTGCATCTGCATGGACAGTGTTGAACTGACATGGAGTTTTTATCTCGCATTTTAAGCATTCACCTTTATCAGTTGCTCTGACAATTTTATAATTTCTGAAGCTGTATAAATAAAATCAAAAACTGTCAGGCTTGCTTACTTCCAAAAAGGCCTTAAGCTTGTATGTCATTCCTTTTTACCTCTACACAAAGTACATCATCTCCATAGATCAGAAATGAGACCATACCCCTCTAACTACACAAATATTGTGCATAATTGTCCCCCAGCTAGTGAGTTTTCTTTCTTATCAATACATACATGTAGAGATAGAAGTTTTAATGCTATTAAGTATGTAGGCCTTGTGTAAAATCCTTAAAAGAGGAGTATACCATGTTTTCTTAAATTCTCAGTTATGTTGGTAAGCTGTGCAGGTTTCTTTAGCTGTATATATTAAAGAGGAAACACCTGAGAATGAATTACATAATTTGTAAATTTTGGTATGACTAGAAAATACCCAGGAAGACTCTTCTGGAATCCATTTTTTTCTTCTTAGCAATACATTCCCCCTATTCAGAAAAATTCTGAAGACTACAGGGACGCTTGTATGAAGCAGAGGAAAGCTTTCTCACACCCTTTCAGTCAGACTGTACTGATACCTTTTCTAGATTATTTTGAAGAATGTTTTCTGTACAAAGGATATGAATTTCAAATGTGGAAATTAGGTTTACAATTTACAGATTAGTCTTCAAAATGTGATTTTTCATGGTACTCTACTTATTTATTTGTAAATTCAGTGTTTAAAAATAGCAGATGGAATAAGGATATGCATTTGCTATTTCAGTGGAAGGTAAAGCTCCCCTCCTCCCTCATTCACAACTCATTGCCATTTCTCAGTGTGCACATAAGGACCCATTAATTCCACACAAGATGTATGAGCCAAATAATGTATCCTGCCCTGCCTGCAAGATGCTGTTAGTCCGCATCAGCAACTCTTCCCCTATATTTCTTGCAGCACCAACTCTCTGAACTGTGTAGAAGTACTGGTCTGAGAGCTTAAGATGCTATACTGAAAGGAAGTCATCTTCCGGAACAAATAAGTAGCATCTTAACATTCATACCTGAGAAAGCAGACCGAGCAACTCAGTTGAAACTCATATATGTAGTATACATGAAAATTCCAAATGGAGAGACAATCATCAAGGATAAATCTTAACTAAGTAGGATCAGGGAACATAGAACTTGCACAGAAAACAAACAAAGAAAGAAAAACCCATAATACAGCATAGATACAATTATGGAAACTACAAGCACCTACTATAAAACCAATGCAGAACCTTTGTCTCCCGTTTTAAAGGAAATTAAGAAAGGTTTTCTTGAACCATAAGTTTCACAATCCTGAAATGAACAGGAAATAAATAATTAAGTTTGGCATTAGGAAGCAGAGGGTTTTATTTTGTAGCCCTCCATTTATTTAATGCAGGTACACAACACCTATTTCCCTCACAGAACTATTGCACCTTTTGTTTTTTCATTGGGATAGGTCTTACTCAAAACCTTTTTCTGCTGTGAACACAGTGCTTGTGTGGCTTTTTTACAGTCATGAATGCATTGCAATTATGTAAACAAAGATCAGGATTCCCCTGTAAAAGTGATATGCAAGCCTCATGACAATTCTATACATAAATATTTTAAATTTTGTATGATCCATATTAACAGGCAAATATCTGAAAAATATGCTGAAAAAGATCTTCAATTTGTAAGAAAACAGGTCAAATTAACAACCTGCTATTATCCTAATGTAGAGTTTAAGTAACTAAATGAATTGAGAATCATACAGGCATATCTAATATAAAAGTATACATGCATATATAATGTGGTATGCATTGATAACCATCATCCTGCAAAAAATTACATTCCTTGAAGTGTTTTCAGGAAAGGTAGATTGAAGCTAATATTCTTTATATTTCATTTTTCAAGATAAAAAGTCACATGGTCCTTTGAATTTCCTGCTGGTGTGAACTAGAACAACACATTTTATCCTACTATTCTTAGCACTATGATTCCTAAAAAAATTGTGTATCTTAGTCATTTAATAAAATGTGGCTGTAAATTGTCTTTATTTTGGAAACAGATGAAGCCAAGCTGTTTTCTCTTGCATTCTCTTTACTAATCCTGCTTTATTGTAGTATTCAGCTCATTGTAAATATGTAAACATCTCTTTAATTTGCACTATTTCCTTCTTCGGTATCTGTGCAACAGATCTTGAATCTTTTCTATGTTTTGCTTGCTCATTGACAGACAATTCCCAGTTAGGACGAGTTTAATATCAAAGTTAAAATCTCCTACCCTATTCTGACATAATCCACCTTGTTCATAAATTTTGGTGTTGGAATGACAGATGTCCCTTGACCTGAATCAACCTTTCAGAACAGGTAGATTCTCCTCTCCATTCCTCCCCCTCTTCTCCTCTCTCCTCCTGTGCTTGGCAATATTTGAATGTGAATTCAAAATATGCCTAGAGGTGACTGGTCTATAGAGAACGAAAGTCACCTAAGTACTTGCAGTCTTCAGTTATGATGAATCAGACGTATATTTTTTCAAATGTACTTTTCTTGCCAATGACCAAAAAAAAAAAAAAAAAAATTGAGTCATAGTTTGGCATTGTACAGCATGCTAGCAACCTAGAAACTTCTCTATTAATCTACCTATGCTCCCTTTTCATAGTAATTTTTGCAACCCAAGAAGCATTATTGTCTATTGACTTTAAATTGCTGTAGTTTTTGAGTGAAGCGGTCTTCTCCATGACCACATAGCCAGCTGAAACTATTTAAAAAGCAAAATGGAGTAGAGTGCCTAATGCCCATATAGAAGAAAAAATCCAGTGTAAAATCAACAGAATTTCCCTTGACTTCTTTGGGCTTTGATTTATTTTCTGATTTATCTGGATTTCCAATCAATATCCTTTAAGGTATATTTGAATAAAATCTAAATTTAAGACATCCTTGTAAGTTTATATATGCTAGTTAAGTTCTACTTATTTTTTTTTCCCAATATGATACAGTCTACCAATTAGTTACCAACTGCATCTCTAAGTAGTCAGCCTCACATTGTAGTTACAGATATTCCAATTGAAGTAT